ACCCACACCTCGCAGGCGATTTCTCGTCACCAATTCCTGAGTTCCGCCCGAAAAGGTTGGCCGCTCAGAAAAATCGGTGAAACGTAAAACTCCGCCGGAATTCGGGTTTGCCGACGCTTTTTGACCAGCGCATCGTGGACTTGACGGTCCAGTTTTCGTGGGATGTTTGCAGCGGGAGCTCGCGTCAAATTTCAGACGGTCTCGTCATTTTCATGATGGCGCCGTCAGGCCAACCAGGGTCTCCCGAATTCGAGTCGTCCGTCTCCCCGAAAAAAAAAGGAAACCCCGCGCTCTCGGGATACACCCCAAAGGGGCTATTCGGACGCACCCCTATCGAGGATGGACGCCCCCGCCGTATATCCAAGGTTTGGGCCCCAGATTTCTGGTCCATTCGAAAACCTCCCAAAGCCTGGGATAGGGGTCGAAACATCCCCTGTGAACCCTTCACTGGTTTCCACCTTTTTGGGCCTCCTGGGAGGCCCTCGTCGCCACCGCTGGATTCGCCTCGAGATCCTGGTCAGAACGCGCCCCGGGAGAGGTCTAGGGAATTAGCGGTATCAGTTCCTGTTGGTTTCCCCAGGCTCACCCTGAGGGATGAGTGGGGGAAGACGCTGAAGACCGTGACGACCAAGGGGAAGGAGGCCACGGCCAAGGCCAAGGCGAAGCCCAAGGCCAAGGCCAAGGCCAAGGCGGGGGCCAAGGCCGCCGACGGCGGCCCGAAGCCAGACGTAGAGTGGGACGAGGTGTTCACGTTCGTGGGCGTCTCGAATCCGTGCCTGTGCACGCTCTCGGTCAACGTCCTGGACGCAGGGGGCGACCAGAGCAAGCGTCTTGGCGAGACCACCCTGCCCCTGGGGATGCTCGCCGCCAGGCCCGGCCCGCAGGACTTCGAGCCGCACATCGCCGGGCACTTCTGGTCGTCGAAGGTGAGCGGCCGCGCGTAAGAGCGACCTTCCGCAGGTGTGACCCCTGGTGCGGGCCCACGAGGGTCCACCCAGCACTGGCTGGCGCACTTGGTCTGCGCCGATGTGGCCTCCCCCGCCGCCTTCTGCGGCCGCGCACCACCGGTCATTCTTGCCCAGGGTCGCTCCTGCATGCAGCCGAGGTGAAGCTCCAGATCGACAACATGGGTACGTGGGGCAACGGCATGCCAGAGGAGAACAAGCTCCACATGCTGATCCGGGGTGCCACCGGCCTCCCGACCCGCGTGGGCACGCTCGTCAGGAGCAAGCCTGACCCCTACATCTACGTGGAGCTGAAGGGTCCCGACGGGGCCGTGCTGCAGTCGAAGCAGACGGAGCCCAAGACCGACGCGGGCTCCGACCCCCAGTGGGACGAGGAGCTCGTCTTCGAGAACATTCCGCACCCAGCTCGAGGAACAGACAATGACATGAGCATGCACTTTGGGAGGCCCGCGCTCCTCTCTCGGGTCGGCGCTGGGCCCCCGCGCGCCAGGGGCGGCGCTCCAGGCGCCGCCAAGGGGGCCCCAGCGCGGTCCGAGGCATCCGCGCGTACCTCCGAAAGTTTAGGTCTACGGCAGGCTCGTGTCGTGTCGGCGCGGCGGCAGCCCCGCCGCGGGCGTTCCGGGGCGAGGGCCGCCAGGGGCCCAGAATCGGCCGACCTCGAACGACCTGGCGATCAAACAGCTACATACTGTTTTCAGGGTCGAATAGTCCACGCGGTGTCAGAAACCAACGCAGCATGGGTTGAATAGTCCACGCGGTTGAATAGTCCACGCGGTGTCAGTGGTCGCCACGACGCGAACCTGCCGTATGTCATTATTTGTTCCCCGACCAGCGGCCTGCTCATTGTACATCACCTGTTGGGACAGGAACGGCGCCTCCAAGGACCAGCTGCTGGGCCACACCGAGGTGCCCTGCGGCGTGCTGGGCTGCTCCTCGGAGTACGCCGCGTTCGACGGCACGACGCTGGGAGGCACCTGCAAGCTCAACTTCTCCATGCACACTGGCGGCACGTGGGGCAACAAGGATCTAGCCCTCCCAGATGGGGTCCAAGCAGGCGGGGTCGGACGATCGCGCCGCATCGCCGATGCATCGGCGACGCGGCTCGATGTGGAGCCCGCTTCTCTTCAAGCCGACGTCGCTGATGCCTCGCCGATGCATTGGTGCTTCATCGACGATGCTGCGCGGCCCTGCGAGCCCATCTACCCCGACCCCATCTGGGAGGCCTCTAGAAAGGATCGGAGAACTAAACACTGCACAAGCATAGACTTGGAGAGCTCCACGGGGCTCTCTTGGATCTGCGCTGGGCCCCCCAGCGGCGCCTCCTTTCCCAGTGCCGATCCACGAGACCCGCGTGGACCTCCCGGAGTCTTTGTTCCATGCTCGGCGGCGAGCCCGGGGGGGAAGTGAGAAGGAGCAGGCCCTCTCAGAAGGCTCGGAAGCCCCCCGGCCTTCCGAGAGGGTTTCTGAGCCTCCCCCGGAGACGCCACAAGAGACCTCTCAGAGGGCGCGAGAGGGCCTCCGAGAGGCCCCGCCGCCCTCTGCAAAGGGCCCTCCTCCCTCTCTCCTTCCCCCCCCCCTCGCCGCTCGCCGCCAGCGTGTGCCGCTCTCCGTGCTCCTCGCGAGGAGCCGGGGCCGGCGCCCGAGGAGGTGGCGGCGGGGGGCGGGCAGGCGTGCTGCTCGCTGATGTGAGAGGGGTGCCGCTCGGCGGGCCCCTGCGCGCGGGGGGCGTCGGGAAGGGCGGGTCGGTGCCGTGCCGCTCGGCCGGCCTCTTTTCGTCGGCCTCGGCAGCAGGTCCTCTTCCTCCACCTCCTCCTTCTCCTCCCTCCTCCTCCTCCTCCTTCTTTTCCTCCTCCTCCTCCTCCTCCTCCTCCTCCTCCTCCTCCTCCTCCTCCTCCTCCTCCTCCTCCTCCCTCCTCCTTTCGGGCGAAGAAAACTATGCACATACACCGATCCTGACAACGTCCATCCTTGACCCAGGATCGGTGCATATGCCTTTCTGGCCGAGGCAGGAGGGCACAAGCACCGATCCTGGGCTCGGGATGGGCCTGGCCAGAATCGGTGTATGGGCATAGTTCTTTTTCCTCTAACAGTGAGGGTGGGCAACCTTCCCACGGGTGCCCCTGAATCTCTGAACGCCCGAGGTGGGTGCGGAAAGAGTGGGCACAATGTCCAGCAGCAGCTCCTGTCCGTTTCGAACAGGGCTCGCTGTCCGCGCCGCCGCGGCCTGTGTCCATTCGAGACAGAAGGCCGCCTGCCCAACAGCGGCCGCTGTTGGTTTGGGACAACATTTGTTGTTGGGCACTGTACCCATTTGTTCCGTACCCATTTCGGGCGTCCAAAGCATCCTTGCCTCCTCGGTCCATCCTTGGCCACTTTCGTTGGCCGCGACCCGCTCGGAAAGCTTCGGAATGGGCGCTCAAGGCTCTTGCATCCTTGTCGCGCATCCTTGCTATACGGGTTGACTGTAGCGGCGATTCGCGTCTGGGAGCCGATGAGAAGGCGCCGATGTTTGCGTCGGCTGGCGTCGATTAGCGTCGATTCGCAAGAGCCGACAGCATGGCATGGGAGGCTCCCATGAGTTGCCACCGAACTTTCGTCGGCTCCTCCTCCTCCTCCCCTCGAAGAAGAAGAAAATGCCATGAACATACACTTGTGGCGCTCCGCGCGGATTTCTTGGATCCGCGCTTGGCCCCCCAGGCGGCGCCTCCGGCGCCGTCCCTGGCGCGCTACGCGCGCCAGGGAGGGGGGTCCAGCGCAGATCCAGGAAATCCGCGCGGAGCGCCACAAGTTTCTGTTCATGGCGTTCTCGTTTTTGCTTCTCTCCCGTCCGCCCGACGTGCAGCGACAGCGGCAACGACAGGATGAGGGAAGCGGCCGGCTGGCTCTTCCGCTTTCCCCCCGCTCCCCGGCCCGCCAGCTCTCGAAAGGCTTGCTCCAGGCACCGAGTCAGCCTCGTGGGGCCGTCCCCAGGCGCAGTGTTCCGGCGCCCAGCGTCGCCTTCGCATGGAGGAGGCGGTCAACGCGGCGGTCCTGCCTGTCTCGAGCTGAACTCCGCTGCATGACTCCAGAGCCATGGAGAAGGGCGCCGAAGCGCGCCCCAACCTCCGCAAAGACGGCGGGTTGGCCCTCTGTTGTAGTGCCACGTGTCGGCACGCTCCCTGGACTGGTTTCTCCACATGACGTCGTAGGCACGGCCGATTCGCTCAGCGTCTGTTCGGCCCCACCGTTTTCGGCAGCCCAAGACGCCGTTCCGAGGAGACCCGACGCGGAGAAACGCACGCCACCCCGCTCATCGGCCTCTTCTTCCTCCTCCTCCTCCTCCTCCTCCTCCTCTTCCTTTTCCTCCTCCTCCTCCTCTTCCTTTTCCTCCTCCTCCTCCTCCTTTTCCTCCTCCCTGGCCATTTTGGCTCCAGTCCGCATCGGTTTCGCTCTGAACTTGACTTTTGCGGCGTGGGGGAGGTGCGGCCCCTGACTGCGCAGAGTCTCCCTCCCAGCCTGCCAAGGCTGGAGACTCTTCCCTTTCCACGTGCTCTAGCATTTACCGTCCTTTACCGTCCTGAGGTGTTCAGCCTCGTATGACCAAACAGCATGCGCCTTGGGTTTGTTCTCGTCCTGCTGCTGATGAGTGGAAGCTCGCAGCCGCTAAGCCAGAATTGCTCAAATAATGGTCTTGTGGCTGCGACAAGAACAGGAAGTCGGCGAACAGTTGTTTCCAGTGCGAAGCGTCCCTCTACTCCAAGGAGCCATGGCCCGAGCTGCAGCTGGCCGCGGCTGAGGCACAGGTGCCAGGCAAGCCAGGTCGCTGGCGCAATGGCCGCGGGCGCGGCGCAAGAGGAAGAGGAGGAGGATAGGAGGGAGGAGGAGGAACGAGGACGAGGCCAAGGGAGGAGGAGGAGGAGGAGGAACGAGGACCAGGCCAAGGGAGGATGAGGAGGAGGAGGATGAGGAGGAGGAGAAAGATGAGGAGGAGGATGCGGAGAAGGAGGAGGAGGAGGAGGAGGAGGAGGAGGAGGAGAGGAGGAGGAGGAGGAGGAGGGAGGAGGAGGAGGAGGAGGAGGAGGAGCAGGAGGAGGAGGGAGGAGGGGGAGGAGGAGGAGAAGGAGGAGGAGTCAGGAGGAGGAGGAGGAGCAGGAATCAGGAGGAGGAGGAGGAGACGTAACAAGCTCGCCAAGGCTTCCAAGAGCGAGCGGCAACGTAAGCATCTCTGCACACCAGGGATCCCAACAGAGAGTGGTGATGTATTAAGCTCTTCCCACCAAGGCTCCCAAGAGCGAACGGTGACGTGACAAACTCGTGCACACCGAGACTCCCAAGAGTGAACGGTGACGTAAACAACTCCCAACACCAAGGTTCCCAATAGCGAGCGGCAACGTAAAAGTCTCGGCACACTAAGGCTTCCAAGAGCGAGCGGTGACGTAACAAGCTCTTACCACGAAGGCTCCCAAGAGCGAAGGGTGCCGTGAGCCCTCTCAGGCAGGTTCCTGAAGCGCTCTTTCCGTTTCTGTGCCGGCCCAGGTAACGGAAAGAGCGAGGTACGAGTGATGACGTTGTGTTTGGGCGAAGCCTTTTAGGGGGAGTGCAGAGGGGGGCGAAGTCCGCGCAACTGCGGTCTAATGGCCGTTTTCGGGTTATCCCTTGGGTTTTGTTGTATGCTTTGTTTTTCGGGTTCTTCCCTTTTCCGTCCCAGAAGGGCCCCAGACGGCCCAAGAGGCTCCAAAGATCGGCCCAAGAGGCTTCTGAGACGCCCCGAGAGGCGCACAAGAGGCCCCCAAGATGCCAAAATCATTGATTTCCAATAGGAAACGTACATTTTTAGTATGTACGGCTTTTCAGCTTTCACGGCGTTGACGACCCCACAGACCCCCAAGAAGCCCCAAGAGGCCCCCAATAGGACTCCCACGAAGGCCCAGAGACGCCAAGAGCGATCGATAACGCAAAAAGCTCTTCACACCAAGGCTCCCAAGAGCGAACGGTGACGTACACAAGCTGTTAAGACCAAGGCTCCCAGCAGAGAGCGGTGACGTAACAAGTTCCTGACACCAAGGCCCAGCCAAGGCTCAGGAACGGGCGGCAACGCAACCATCTCTGAACACCAAGGCTCCCAAGAGCGAGGGGTGACGTAACCAGCTCTCAACGCAAAGGCTCCCGATACGAACGGTGGTGTGAGTCATTTCGGTGTCTGTTGCTGCAGCGCTCTTTCCGTTTCTGTGCCGGGCCAGGTTGAAGGTTGGAGGCTTCTGGAATGCTTCTGGAGATCTCTTGGGAGACCCCTCGGTCCCAGAGGCCCTTGTCAGGGGTCTCTCGGGGGCTTGTTCGGGGCATGCTTTGGGACTCTTGGGGGCCTCCCGGAGCTCGTGGGGGCCTCTTGGGGGGCCTGCTGGCGGTCTCGGGGGCCAAGATGTTCCGAAGGGCTTGAAATGTTGGTTCGGGTCCCCTTTGGGGGCTTCTTTTGGGTCCCTCTTTGGGCGCAGTTGGGCCGTATTGGGGGCTCCTCGGGCCGTCTTGGGGCCGTCTTTGAACCGAGTGGGGGCGCTCTTTGGGGCTTCTCGGGCCGTCTTGGAGCGATCTCGCGGGCCTCTCCAGCATCGAAAGCCCGAAAAGGCGAGAGCACTGACACCTTTCAACCCCCGACTGAACACCCCAAGGGGCCCCTGACAGAATTTTACGTGTGGACACTCCAGCGCGAGCCTCAGGGCACGGTGGCGGATTCTGGGAAGAAGCCCGGAGGAGGAGGAGGAGGAGGAGGAGGAGGAGGAGGAGGAGGAGGAGGAGGAGGAGGCCTGGGCTACTTCCTGGTCTGCGATGGGGACCTTCTCCTGGAACTGGGCCCTCACGGGGGCGCGCACAAGACTCCGACGCGAGCCGCCGCCCCGAGGCTGGCTGCAGGGCTGCCGACGTTTTTGTTGTTGCCTGGCCGCCCCGTTTGTTTGGGCTGCAGGGCTGCGGACGTTTTTTTTTGCTCGGCCGCCCCGTCCTGGCGGATTCTGGGAAGAAGAAGCCCAGAGGAGGAGGAGGAGGAGGAGGAGGAGGAGGAGGAGGAGGAGGAGGAGGAGGAGGAGAAGGAGGGGGGAGGAGGAGGAGGGGGGAGGGGGAGGAGGACCCAGAGATCCGAGAGGAGGCCGAGGAGGAGGGCGAGGAGCGAGGAGGACGACGAGGGGGAGAACGGGCGTGCGGAGGACGAGGGCGAGGGGAACCAGGCAGGCGGCACGAAGGGGCGTGGCGGAACGTTCGTGGGCGAGAGTCGATCGGGGGAAGAGGCCCCGTGTCAGAAATTTGAGCATATTCATTACCAGTGGCGAGTTGTTTTTTGATCCTGGGACTTTTTGAGGGTCGGGGACGACGTCGGATTGGTGTTTTGTATATTCTTTGTCCCCGCTTTCACGGGGAAGCAACGAGACATGTATACTTCAGGACTCCGCATACGCCAGGATCCGCTTTCCTGTGCGAGCTTCAGTGCGGGGCTGGAACAAAAACGTCGGTGTGTAGATCGGGGGCCCCCAAACAAGGTGGTGACCTCACCGTGTGCTGAGTCGGTGGGGATTCGGGGTCACCGCACGGTTTTGGGTCTCGGGTCGTTCTCCGAGGATGTCTCGGGCGACTGGGGCCACCAGGGTCCCAAAACCGTGTGGTGACGGGCCCTGCGGTGAGGTCTTGGCGGATTTCGAGGTCACCGCCGGTTCTTTCCCCGCACGGTTTTGGGACCCCCGCCAGAGAGAGTTCGGCTCCTCAGAGGAGGCCCCGTGGAGCCTCGTGGCCTCCACGAGTGGCACGGTCATGGGGCTGTTTTCGGCACTCGCCCGCAGGGCCTCTGCGGGGTGGCGCGCCCCCGAGCCCGTGTGTATATATGTGTGTGTGTGTGTTGATTGGAGGCTTGTGGTAGGCAGGGCTGGTGGCGTCCACATTTCTCATCGTACCTCCGACTGCTGTGTAAAACATGTAGTTGCGGATTTGGGTGAGGGGCCTTGTGTAGTCGGGGAGGGGCCGCTGCAGGACAGCGTAAGGTGTTCGAGCTTCCCCAAACGCTCCGAATTGCCGCTCTCCGCCTTCTCTGGAGGGTTTCGGCTCAGAGGCAAAAGGGCGCGCTTGACGAGTGTGACAGGCTAGGCCAGACGATTCCCCAAGAGAGCCCTGAGAAAAAAAACAGGGCGACCGCGGACCCCAGACAGGGCCCGCCCTGGTGCAAGCACTGTTTGGGAATCGGGCCGTGGTGTGGACCCCAGACAGGGTCCGCGCAGTGTAGTGCAAGCGCTGTTTGGGAGTCACTGCTCCCTGTCGTCGTCGTCGTCGTCGTCGTCGTCGTCGTCGTCGTCGTCGTCTGCCTGCCTCCTCTCCTCCCTCGTCCTTCGCCAGGTAGCAGGGAGAAAGGGTAGCAGCAGAGCAGGGAGTGTGCGGACGATGAGAATGTGTTTTTTGTTTGTGTGAGTGTTTCCGTTGTGTGTTTTTTGTTGTGGCGCGGCCATTGGCTGTTTGCGGAGCTCGCCCGCAGGGCCCGCGGGGCCGGCGCGCCCCCGAGCCCGTGTATAATTATGTGTGAGTGTGTGTTTTGTTTGTTTGTGTGTGTGTGTGTGTGTTTCCGTTGTGTTTTTTTTTGTGGCGCGGCCATCGGGCTGTTTGCGGAGCTCGCCCGCAGGGCCCGCGGGGCCGGCGCGCCCTCGCGAGCCCCCTCGCGAGCACGCGGGGGCTCGCGAGGGGCCCCGGGAGGCCCCGAGCGCGCGGGGCACGCAGGGGGAGGAGGGGCGGGAGGCAGACTGGGGGACACGCGGCGCGGGAGCTCGGGGGCGGCAAGGGGGGTGATGACCGGGGGGGGTGGAATACCATGGCGCGGGCCATGATAGTTTCTCGGATTTCATGGCGCCTCTTCTTATCTCATTGCGTTCCTGCCCCCCCCCCCCGGGCTGCGCACATGCCGCCGGCCATGATTTGCGCCCCCCACTATTGGACGCCCCCCTCTTGGCCGCCCCCGAGGAGCGGCAGGGTCGTCGTTTTCTTAAATGCATTGTTTTGCCGAGCGGCGCCTGCCCTCGCGCCCCTTCACAGGCAGCGTTTCGATTCTTCCGATTCGATTCGATGTCGATGGTTCCCGATTCCGATTCGGCTTCGGCTTCGGATGCCGATGTGGGATCCGATGTCTCTACAGAGGCCTACTGTGCGGGTGTCTGCCGATTCGACGTTTCCCCGCTCGGCTGCCGATCCCCGTCGATTCGATTCATGTCGATCGCCGATCCGACTTGTCGATTCGATTCTGGGCTCTCCTGCCCCCCCCCCTTGAGTAGATCTTGGCTGTTTTGGGCGCATGTTTCGGGCATCTGGAGCCTCCCCCGTAGGACGGTCGCACGAAGCAGAGGTCCGGAGCCAGCCCCCCCCCCCTCCCGCCCCTTGCGCCCATGATGATGATGCTGCTGGTGGTAGTGGTGATGATTATGTATGGTGAGGAGGATGATGATGATGACGATGCTGATGTTGATGATGACGATGATGGCGATGATGATGCTGCTGAAAAGATGATGCTGATGATGCTGATGCTGATGATGATGATGATGATGATGATGATGATGATGCTGCTGGTGATGACGATGATGGACACGAAAATCAATACAATGTTGATGCTGATGATTGTGATGCTGATGACGATGATGACGGTGACGAGCGATGGAGATGATGATGATTTGTGCAATGATGACGGTGGCGATACTGCTTGTTGATGATGGTGGTGGTTATGGTGATGATGCCCGAGCCGCAAGTCTTGTGTTTTTGAAGTCGGTCGGGCCAGGTTTTTGGCGAGGTTCCTCCCACGGCCCCTTGCGCGCGCCCAAGTGGCCCGGGCTTCATCGAGTTTCCCGACAAGGACGCGGGCTTCGAGATCTGGGAGCTGGGTGCACCCGGGGGAGGGCAAACCTGCAAGCCAAGCGCCGCGTGCAGCTTGCCCTGTGGCCAGGGCTGGACCTAAACGCTGTTTTGCTGGACTTCGGCTGTGTTTTGTTTTTTTTGTTTTGCGAGGGAGGTACAGGAGAACAGGTAGAGCAAAACGAACAACAAAACGAGAACATAGCGACAAACAACGTTTAGGTCCAGCCCTGTCTGTGGCTGCAGGAACAGGCAGGGAAGGAAGGAGGGAGGTCAGAAGTTCCAGAACTCCAGGCCTCCCACATGGGGTCCGAGTAGATGGGGTCGGAGGATCGCGCCGCATCGCCGATGCATCGGCGATGCATTGGCGATGCATCGAAATCCTTCGACCCCATCTACTCGGACCCCTCTAGGAGGCCACTAAGAACGGTATGGTGACCATGCCGTCGGGTGAGTCAGTGGGGATTCGGGGTGGCCGCACGGTTTGGGGCTTGGATGGTTCTCCCGAGGCTCACTCGGGCGACTGGGGCTCGAAGTCGTTGCGCGGTCCGTCGCCGCACCGGTTTTGGGACCCCCAGGGGAGGCAGGGCAGCGGGGGAAAGTGGATAGAGCTGGGCCACGGGGTGCGTTCCACCACTCGCAAGGGGCCTACTCGCAACGGTCCGACAAGCACATGTCTGCCTCGATGTGCAGTCAACCCGCGTAGTAAGGATGGGCAGCCTTCCCCTCGCTCCCTCCCCCTCGCTCCCTCCCTCCCCCCTCCCTCCCTCCCCCCCCCCCTCCCTCCCTCCCTCCCTCCTCCCTCCCTTCCCTCCCTCCCTCCTCCCTCCCCCCTCCATCCCCCTCCTGCCCCCCCCCCTCCATCCTCCTCCCTCCTCCCTCCCTCCCTGCATCCTTGCCCCTTCGGCCCATCCTCAGCGACTTTGGCTGGCCAACCTCGCCCGACAGACGTTCACACGGGCCTCCAAGGCCCTTTGCATCCTTACCGCGCATCCCCGTGATGTGGGTTGACTGCGGTGGAGCGTGAGGCCCCCCGCGGCGGATCCCGGCCACCTGCGAGCAGTCACTCCGCGAGTCGTGGAGCGCGCTTGGTCTACGGGGGCAGGGAGCACAGCTTCTCCCGAGGCCTGGTGCGCCCAGACGGCATCTCAAGCACGGGCAAGTGATCGCCATTTCTTATCCATTGTTTTGCCGATCGGCGAGGGCCCTCGCACACCCCCCCTTTCCCCCCCCCCTTCTACGGAGTAGTAGATCGTAGCTGCTTCTGGCGCCTGCTTCGAGCAGGTGGGGTCTCCCACCATGGGACGCACTGTTGCGAGCAGTCGCGTTAAGCAGACAAAGGTCCAGAGCCAGACCCCCCCCCTTCCCCTCCCCCTTCCGCCCAATCTCGAAACGCCGAATGAGATAACGTTCACATACACGCGGGTCGTTGAAAGTAGGCATCTCTGGATTTCCAGATACCAACCTTCTTCAAGCGCCTTCCTACTTCAATGATCGATCTGCTTTTGCTGTGCTTAATCGTTCTCTGGGAAGGCCTGGACTCAATCTAAGTTATCCCCCTTCCTCCACGTTCTTTACCAACTTCCGACCGACGTGTACCCTTGCATCCGTGCCTCTCGGCCCACCCTGACCAAGAGCATCTCAAGGATGAGCAACCTTTCCAGAATCGGGGAACAGTTCGACTCGAGTGCACCAGAACTCGGGTCTGACGACGCTTTTTGGCGAGAGCGTCAGGTGGTCCAGTTTTCGTGGGATGTCTGCAGCGGGAGCTCGCGTCAGACTTCAGACTGGGTCTCGTCATGTTCGTGATGGCCCCGTCAGGCCAACCCGTGTCCCCAGAACCCGAGTCTTACGTCTTCCCGACAGAGTAACCCTCGCATCTGTGCCTCTCGGCCCATCCCAGACCAAGAGCCGCGGGCCAGTGGCTTCCACCCTCGGCTTCGATTTGGGCGTCCACGGGCACTGCATCCTTGCCATTCGTATTTCTGATCGGGTCGCGCTGTACGCAGGGCAGGGAGGTGGGGTGAGCCTTGTGGCTCGACGAGCACTTCGTGGTGTGCCGGCACGACGCCGCCGCTGGGCTCGTGCTGTGTGGGCACGAGAACCCGGCAGGGCCAGCACCGAGGCGGCTTTCCACGCTCGGCGTGAGACACCCGCGCGCCTCAGGAAGGCGAGCCCGGCCGCAGGGCGAGCCAGCGAAGGCGCGCTCTCTGTCCAGCGCAGCGGTTCAAGAGAGCGCGCGCCGACCTCCGACGGTGGGCCGAGGCCCTGTAAGGGCCCCAAGGAGGCCAAAAATCGCGACCCCCCCGTTGCTATTGTTTCACGCCGCGAGGGGGAAACGGGTCCTCGGCCCTCGGGTTAAGTCGGGCCCGTCCTTCTACAGGAGGCAAAATCAGAAATAGTAACAACATGATCAGGTGGTGACTTGTTGAGCATCTTTGAGATATCTACATTAATATCTATATGTTTATATATAGGCATACGTGTGTGTTTACTATTTCTTCTTATTCGTCCAAAGTCCACCTGTAGGAGGAGACGCCCCACCTAACCCTGGGGCTGTCCCCCCGGACGAGATCTGCATCCCGAGTTTCTGGCAGTCGGCCCGTGGAGGGCCCCGAGAGCCCGAAAAGGGCGAACAAAAATCCGGACCTGCTCCCAGGGCTTGACCTAAACGCTGCTTCGCTGGACTTCGGCTGTGTTGTGTTTTTCGCTGTGGCAGGGAGGTGCAGGGAAGACAGGCAGAGCAAAAGGAACACGAAACGAACACGAAACGAAACACAGCGATCAGATCCAGCCCCGCTGTTCTCCTCCGGACCCGTCTCCCCCCCGGGCGAGGATCCCAGACCCCCGAGGTTCCGGAGGCTCCCACGTCAGAGTGGGATCACAGACGTCCTGCCCCGGATGACCGCGAACAGGGTCGAAGACGTCCCAAGAACTGTACACCTTAGGCGATGCTTAAGAAAACTAGAATTTTCGGCCAGAGTCTCGATTATTCTTAATGTTTCAATGTAAATCTTACAAGTTTGGTAGAAATTTGGAGTTTTTATTCAAATTCTGAGACTATGAATTTCTTAACCCATGATTTCTTAAGCATTTCGCAGGGTGTACGATTTCTGAGGGGGCGGGTGGGGTTCACTTCGCTCGTGAGCTACCGAACGACGTGAACCCCACCCTCCCCCTCAGGAATCGTGGGGGGGAGGGGTAGGGTTCGCATGTGGCCCCCTAGTTGAGGGACTGGCGGGCGGTTCGTGCGGGAGGAGATCCCGCTCCCAGACCCGCCGAGCAGGGCCCGCCCCCGTCTTCGCCCCCTCGCCCTTCGCGTGAATGATCTCTGCCTTGCCTCGCCAGTCACTTTCGAACGGCCTGAGGCTTGGCCCCGCCCGCGACGCAGAAAGGTGTGAGCGTGTGAGAGAGAGAGGGTGCTGCTGCGTGGCCATACGCGGTCACTGCGGGCTCGGGCGGTTCGGGGCGCGCGAGCGCCTTGGCTGCTTCCGACCTTCCGTGCGCCCCGACGCTGCGCGCGAGGCCGCGACGCCCAAAGCGAGTCCGTGCGCGTGCGTCTGTGCGGCCCGCGTCACGCGCCGCTGGCGGGCGGGGCCGGCGCGCAGGGCGCTGGGCCCCGGGGGCCGCGCTGCCCTCCTCCCCTCGCCGGCGGGCCTCTGCCCTGCAGCGCTTGTCCCGGTGCTTCGCTCCGCACCTCTCTCTCCCTTTCTCCCTCCTCTCTGCAACTCTCCCTCTATCTCTCTCTTTCAACTTTCTCTCTCTCTCTCTCACTCTCTTTCTCTCTCTCTCTCTTTCTCTCTCTCTCTCTCTCTTTCTCTCTCTCTCTCTCTCTTTCTCTCTCTCTCTCTCTTTCTCTCTCTCTCTCTCTTTTTGTTCTCTCTCTCTCTCTCTTTCTCTCTCTCTCTCTCGCTCTCTCTCTCTCTCTCTCTCTTCGCACGCCTAGAGGTTGACACCAACACCAGTTTCGGCGGTGTGCCTCCACCGAGGGAAGAATATCCAGATCTCGGTGATTGTGATAATACTCTGGCTTCCAAGGTTGCCGAACTATTACCTCCAACACCGAAATCTAGGATCATCTTCTCCATGTGGAGACAACCCCCTGTGTTGGTGTTGGTGCCCATTTCCAGGCCTCCAATTTCTCTCTCTCTCTCTCTCTCTCTCTCTTTTTTTTCTCTCTCTCTCTCTCTCTCTCTCTCTCTCTCTCTCTCTCTAAGAAGAAAAATGACAATAATAATAATAATAATAAGAAGAAGAAGAAGGAGCAACGCCATGAACATAAACTTTTGGTGGCGCTCCGCGCAGATTTTTTGGATCCAGGCTGTGGCCCCTGGCGGCGCCTCCGGCGCCGCCCTTGTCGCGCTCCGCGCGTCAGGGAGGGGGGCCCAGCGCAGATCAAAAAATCTGGGCGGAGCGCCAAAAGTTTATGTTAGTGCTGCTGGTTTCTCTAAACTCTCGCCTGTTGTCCGCCATTTGGCGTGGCACAGCTCTCAAGCTCCCCTTTCTTTACATACTGTCTCGCTCGTCATCTCCTCCTCATGCTGCCGATTGGGCAGGGCCCTCGGCAGGCGTGTCTGCTCCCGGCCATCCACGCCCGGATGCGCTGATGCCATACCTCCGCTGTTAGTGCCGCTGTTTCTGGCAGGGCTTTCGATTGGGGTGTCTCCTCCCTGCCATCCACGCCGGGATGGTTGATGTACGTAGATGCGTCGAGTCCTGAGCGATTATTGAGGGCACGGCCTGCCGCGAGTCGCCGCGCGCGATGCCGCTACCGCCAAAAGTGTGTGTGTGTGTGTGTGTGTGTGTGTGTGTGTGTGTGTGTGTGTGTGTGTGTGTGTGTGCGCTTTTGAAGTCTTTTGAGTGTGTCTTCCTTCCACTTTGGGTTCTACACAATCTTGGACTGACAGGGATCGTGCGAATGTGGTGAGTGTGTGTGTGTGTGCGTGCGTGTGTGTGCGTGTGGGGTTGTGGGTGTGGGTGTAGGTGTGTGGGTGTGGGTGTGGGTGTGGGTGTGGGTGTGTGTCTGTGGGTGTGTGTCTGTGGGTGTGGGTGTGGATGTGGGTGTGGGTGTGTGGGTTCGTGCCCGCGCGCGTGCTGTCCCTTCTTGGACTGACAGAGATCCGTGGGTGCGATGTCTCTTCGGCTGCGATCGTCGCGCCCGTTGGCTCCAAGGTACCTTCGCGTGCCTTGGCCTCGTCACGGGCCTGCTGGGCGCTCTGTTCTGCAACTCTGTGAAGACGACGCTGAAGGCCGACAAGAGCCAGAGGAGAAGGGATGACGCAAACGCGATGAACTGGTGGACGAGGAGGAGTTGGGTGAAGAGGGATGTTCTGACCAATTCGCTCAGTGACCTGATCGTCAGTATGGTCGTCCCTCGGAATCCAAGCGGGTTCACCTGAGTCGCAAGCGGCATGCTCAGTGGCGGACAGAGGAGGAAGCAGCCACCTCTCCAATGCCAGGGGTGGACGGATGAGGGTGCAGGACGCAGGACCAGGATGATTCCGAGAAGCAACGCGAGCAGGAGACGGAGGAGGGTGAAAGTGAGGAGGCAGACTGAAAACGCTGAAGCTCTTCCATCATGTCCTCCTACTCCTCCTCCCTATTTTTTGTCTCCTCCTTCTCCCCCGCCTCTCCGTATATTGGAAGGGAGTCTGCGTTGGCCCGTCTCGAGGGCTATGTCCTTTTATGGCGTGGAAGGGGGCTTTATTTTTAGCTTGGTTCCAAAGTCAGGCAGACAATGCCCCCATGTGAGCTGATTGTTATGTGTTTACAGCGGCCTGCTTAGAGCTGAACCCCCGTGCAAAGTAGAAAAGAATCGAATTGCTTTCCTCGTCCTCTCTCATCCTCCCTCATCCACATCCTCCTCCTTCATCCTCCTTGTTCGCGTCGTCAAACACACATGGTACTTGAAAGTGACACTGTCGTCCTCTCGTTCCTGACGACGTCCAGGCAAGCTCCCGCCTCTCCCGGGTGCTCCAATTCACACGCACACGGGATACTATCTGCAGTCATCTTTTTTGTTTCCAATCGACATGTTTGCGGACTAGCACGCCGAGCGACACGTAACGTTTTTCCGATCGGAATGCCAGTAGTCCTTTAACATTGTGCTCCGGCTGCGGCGCTAGCCACATTGAACGAGCCGACGCTTTGCTCCTGTCGCTCGGCGTGGCGCCCTCGCCCCAGCGCGGGCCGCACTTGTGGATCCTGCTCCTTCCTCGCCGTTGTCCTTCCCTCCCTCCTCTCCCCTCCTCCCCCCTTCTCCCGTACCGTTTCCTCCTCTCTCCTTCTTCCCTCCTGTCCCCTCCGCTCTGCTTCTCCCTGCTCTTCCCTCCCCCTTCCCTCCCCTCCTCTCCCCTTCACTTCCCTCCTCTCTTCCCTCCTCTCCCCTCTCTCTCCTCCCTCGAGGGGGAGGAGAGGAATCCGCGGCTGCAGAACGGCGTCCAGCGACGTTCCGTCGTGCATTCTGCGCCAGCGGCGCGCGACATCCGGTTCCAGACGGGAGGATTCCGGTGGTAGAATTGATGTGCTTGCTTATTCGTTTCAGGCTTTCACGTGGCAGCACGTCCACTCCCAACCGACACCAGCTCAGCGCTTAAACCTCTGGCCTCCACAATCGGACTTCCCACTTCCCCACCCATCGACATCCAGCCGACAGCAGATCCACATGCCGACCTCCGACCTCCGGCATTCGACCCCTCACGTCCGCCTCCACTCCTTCACCTCCGGCTCCCACGAGCTCCAGCAACCCGACCTCCGGCGTCCAGCATCCGACTCCCTCTTTCCACATCCACCTCTCGAACTCCGGCCTCCACCAGCTCAACACCGACTCCCAGCCTCCGGCATCCAACTTCCACATCCACCCCCACTTACCGACCAGGTGACCAGGCTCCACCTGCTCAGCACTCCGTCCTCCAGCCTCCAGCATCCGACGTCCCACATCCACCTCCATCCCCACCTGTCGACCTCCAGACTCCACCAGCTTAGCACCGACCTCCAGCCTCCAGCATCCGACGCCCCACATCTACCTCCAGCGATCGACCTCCAGTCGACAGCAGACCAGCACTCCGACCTACGACCTCCAGCACTCGACTCCCCACTTCCACCGCGACCTGTCGACCTTAAGCATCCCCAAACGCTGATTCACGAAGGTGAAGCAAAGTTAGCACTGCTTGGCCCATGCATGTTATCCCAATGCCCTGCCCAGCCCAACCCAGTGTCTTGCCCCACCGAGGAGGCAGGGCAGGAGGAGGCAGACGAGACTCCAGCACGGCACCAGGGCGACGTCCCGCCGTGCACCTTGCGCCAGCGGCGCGCGACATCCGATTCCAGAGGGGAGCGACACGGTGATGGGATTGAGGCCACCGCACCTTCGGCTCCAGCCCCGGCACGGCAGCCTGCCGACTCCGGCCGTGGTGAACGTAGAGCCGTGTGCACAACAGTCGACGGTAATTTTTAACATACCCGTCGCGGCCACGGCGCACCAAGCGAAGAGCATTGCCAGCCCGAGCACCATCCAACAATCGCAGGCCTAGAGGTTGACACCAACACCAAGTTCGGCGGTGTGCCTCCACCGAGGGAAGCGAGGTCCCGATCTCGGTGATGGTGGTAATATTCTGGCTTCCAGGGTGGCCGAAATATTACCACCAACACCGAAATCTAGGATCATCTTCCCCATGTGGAGGCAACCCCCTGTGTTGGTGTTGGTGTCAATTTCCAGGCCTCCAAAACAAGCATGGACAGCGCTCTACCACTGTCGATCGTCCACAAGTACGCTCAGCGACGACCGCATCGGCAACATGATCAACGAGCTAGGACCCACGCATTGGGACTTGATCCTGCTGGATCAAACTTGGAGGACGACGGCCGCAGAAATGTGGGAGGCGGATGATGGTCACACCTGCGCTGGTTCTGGTCATGGTCGGTCTGCTCATGCAGTTCCACACAGACGCTGGAACGGGCGCGTCAAGGAGTTCCCGTCCGTAAGCGCAGGACTCGCAGCACTTCGCATGCGATGGGGCCACACGACATCGCCGTTAACTGTAGCCTGCTCCCCGCGCACAGGATGCAGCGATGACCGCGTGCGTCATCTGCGCTGCACCAGAACTAGGGCTGAGAACGATCGTTGATATTCCAACAGTCAACCCGCATAACAATGTTGGGCAACCTTCCCAAGGATACCCTTGCATCCTTGTCCCTTCGGCCCATCCTTGGCCACTTTCTCTGGCCGCGCCCCGCTCGAAAAGCATCGAGATGGCCCTCCAAGGCCCTTGCGTCCTTATCGTGCGTCCTGACTTCACGGGTTGACTGTACTGCTGCTTGAACTGCTGAACCGCCCACCGACTCGGGAGATTTGATGCTTGCCGGGGGCAGGGTTCGGATGCCACCGCTCGGCGGACGCAGCCGTGCGATCGTAGCCCGCGGGGCCTCGCGCCCCCCCCGGCGAGCAGGCTCGGGCGGCCCGGGATCGGGCGGCCCTGGGAGTGTCGGGAGCCTCGAGACGGGGGTCAGTGCAAACGGGGGTCAGCCAGGGCACCAGATCCTGCAGGATCCTGCGAAGACCCCCTCTGGCTGACCCGGGTTAGCGAGCCGCTCGTGGCCGCGAGGCGGCCGCGCCTGTTGGTTGACCCAGGTTTGCGAGGACCTGCGTTGCAGTTTTTTTTTGTTTTCCTGCATTGCAGTTTTTTGGTTTCCTGCTGACCCGGGTCTGGATTGACCCGGGTCAGAAGATCCCCGAGAGTGCTACTTCCTCGAAAGAAGCAGGGGTAGTCGGAAACTGGAACATGTACATTACCAGTGGCGGGCTGTTTTTCAATCTCAGGATTTTCTTGAGGGTCGAGGACGACGCCGGGGTGGTGTGGTGTATACTTATTTCCCCGATGTCTCGAGGAAACAACGAAAAATGTATACACCAGGACCCGCTCTCCAGAGCAAATTCCAATGCAGGGCCGGAAGAAGCGTCGGTGTATATAGAGTTCGATTCCCTAGGTAGGGCCTGCCCCTGCCTTCGTCGGGGTAAGCGTGAGGCTCCAGGCCTCTCAAGTGGGGTGCTACAAGCCTCGTCAATAAGCTGAAGCGCTGTTCAAGATGGAAGTGCTCGATCACAGTTCGTGCACTTGTCAGAAAACGCTCTCTTCAATGTTGCGAGGCTCGGTGCTGCCGAGTTTCGGACACCCCTGCTTCTGGGCTGAGGACTTCATGCCAGCATGGAGGGCGCGCCGACCATGCAAGCACCAACAACAAAACCGTTACCTTCTTTTTGACGAGTCTTGCATCAGAGCGTGAATTACCTACCCCGCTTTCGCTTCCAGGCAAAACCAAGTCATACCACACGCCTCCTCGGCAAGCGGCCTGACCAGTACATGCCGTAGTTTGGCATCGCTTGGTATCTCTTGGAAGCGAGGGTGGTCAAAAGCGAGGTAGGTTTGTTTGCCCCCTATTGTAGTAGATGGGGTCGGAAGATTGTGTCGCATCGCCGATGCGGCTCGATGTGGAGCCCGATGTCTCCACGCAGGTGGCGCCGATTCGTAGGCCGTGCGGCGCGATCCTCCGTACCCACCTGCTAGGATTATGTCGGACCTGTCCCCGTACAGGGGGATTTTCGACGAAAAATAAAAATACACCAAACATAGTCAAAAAATAGTCCAAAAATAGTCTGGGGACTGTTTTTTGAGTATTGTTTGGCCATTTGGGGGTACTTTTGGGGTATTTTTATTTTTTCGTCGACAATCCCCCTGCAGGGGGGCAGGCCCGACATAATGCTAGCACCCTATCTAGAAGGCTTCGAAGGACTCGGGGTCGGGCGAGGAAACGGTACCGATGCCGCTGCCCTCGCCTCGTCTTCGCTTCTCGGCTCTCCTGGGGAGCCCTCGTCGCCGCGGCTGGGTCCGCCCCCCGGAGTTCCTGCCAGAACGCGCCCTCGTGAGAGGTCGGGGGACGAGCGACGTCGGAGTCTCTTGGTCGCCCCACCCTCGGGGAAGCTCGAGATCCGAGTCCGCCAGGGCTCGGGCTTGCCGACGCTCCCTGACGGGCCCTCCCCGAGGTGTGGCGGCCCAGCTTGCGCGGGCCGCTCGCAGCGGAAGCCCGCGCCATTTTTCCGACGGCCCCGTGAGGCCAGCTCGAGTCTTTCAAACTCGAGTCTTACGTCTCCCCGACTCTTGCGCACCGAGAACAAGGAATACTACATGTATAGATTCTGGTTGGAAGACGAGCATGTAGATTTGATTTCATCGTTAGCAGAAGTAAAACTATTATTATGTGAACGGCACTTGTTTTTGGTTTTGTCATCTCAAACTGTGAAGTTGGCCATTTTTTGTCTGGACCTCTCGGCTCGATGGGGCCGTCTTCGGGCCCCGGGGCCCTCAGGATGCAGCTCCTGTGAGAATCGGTGCAGCATCGGCGCCGGCACATCCGTGGTCGAAAACTTGTCGAATCCGGCATATTTCCAGGACCCACACATGTACATCACCACCGCGGGCTGGCTTTCTGTCGTCGGGGTTGATCAGAAAATTGTTTCGGCGGTGGTTTGCAGGGTGCGTCAAATCTCGCGATAATGGCATGACCAAGCGGGATTATATAATTCCGCTCAGTTCCGCACGATCCCATTTGATATGGTTTGACCCGGCTTAGTCCCAGGCTCAATTTGGCGTGATGCGGCGAAAGGGCGCCTAAATAGGGCGTAGTAGCTACGTCCCAGAGGTTGCCTCCGAACGGGCCCGCAGAAGACGACCCAGGGCGGAAAACTCGTCCTTGCATTGGAGCTTGTTTTGTTTAACGGTCCGGTGATCACCCAAGTCATCGGGCCCGCACATACAAAACGGGTACGCAGTATCATTATTCACGAGCATACGTAGGTCTACCCCAAACGAAAGGATTAAGCTATCGGCCGGCACTGGATAATAAACTAGGCCATCACCGAAAATAAGCGCCGCCGGCAGATGCGAAGTCCATACGGAGTAAGTCCATACGGAGTGCTGGGCTTGCACTGTAGCCCCTTCCGATATGCTGCCAAGCCCAGGCGGAGTAAGCCCGCACGCAGCGCTCGGTTCCCAGGCATGAGACGTCCGGATTTCTTCAGGACGGCGTCCCTGGAAGTCCCGACCCTCTCCCGGGGACCGGTTTCGTCCCGAGCCATTGTTCGACGGTCCCGAGGCCCGGCGAGGGCCCCCCAGGGCCGAAAATTGGAAAAAAAAAAAAAAAAAAAAAAAATGCCGTCCTGACTTGTCTTACGGCGCGATCCTGTGTGGGTCTCCGCTTGGGGCCCCCTCCGGCCCGACGCGGCCTCTCCCGAGGCCGTCGCCCGGGGCGAGGGCGGGCGCTGCGGGGAGCGGGCCCGGAGGCTCCTCGCGGGCCTTCGGGGCCCTCCACGGGCTGCGGGGGAGGGTCAGAGAACGGCTCGGGAGGAGGGTGAGCGTTTTCTTCTGTAATTGTTTTGCCAATCTCGCAGGCCTAGAGGTTGACACCAACACCAAAGTCGGCGGTGCGCCTCCGCCGAGGGAAGAAGATCCCGATCTCGTCGATGGTGGGTGATATCCTGGCTTCCAGGGGGGGCCGAACTATTGGCACCAACACGGAAATCTAGGATCATCTTCCCCCTGTGGAGGCAACCCTTCTGTGTTGGTGTTGGTGCCACTTTCCAGGCCTCCAAATGAGGGTGATCGTTTTCTTCTTTAACTGTTTTGCCAATCGGGGCGGGCCCTCGCAGCCCCCCTCCCCATGGAGTAGATCTTGGCTGCCGTTGGCGCCTGTTTCGAGCAGGCGGGGTCTCCCCCACGGGGCGCACTGCTGCAAGCAGTCGCGCCGAGCAGAGGTCCGGAGCCAGGCCCCCCCTCCTCGCCCCCCCCTCCCTTTCCTCGGAGGTTGATAGACCTCCTACCCTGACACGTCGATTCGTGAATTGGCCGTTTTCGGTTCGCGAGAGGGCGTCGCGGCCGTTATTTTTGCGGGTCCAGGTCCGTCGGTTTCGGTCCCAGGCCGTTTCCACTAAAGGGAGGTTTGCTAAAGGGAGGGTTGTCCACTGCTGACCAGTGTCGAAACGCCGCATCAGAAAACGTTCACAAGAACTGGTCTTGGGCCCTGGGGGAGGAGGAGGAGGAGGAGGAGGAGGAGGAGGAGGAGGGTCTCGTCCTGGGGGGAGGCCCCAGGGCCCAGGACCCGTCTCCCTCGGGACCCGCCTCCGCCTTGTCGGGCCTCAGGAGCGTCCACAAACGAGTCGGGATGAAAAGCCGGTCCCGGGAAATGGGTCGAGACCCCTGGGGGTCGACGTTTGAAACGGATCGTGACGTTGGGGGTGGGGAGGGGCCCTGAGATCAGGGCGTTGTAGTATGTTCATTCCGACCGTTTGTGGCTGGGCCAAATCGATGCAGCTCGAAAATTGTGCAGAAGAGAGAGAGGCGTGGCATCGCTCGGACGTGTGCATTTTTTCCTTCTTTTTCCTTCGGCGACGACCATCGAGGAGCATCTTTGATCACTTGGCGAAAAAAACACGCACGAAACCGAAAAAAACACAGGGAATGGACGTCCGAGCGATGGCCAGGAGGTGGGGTCTGAGGTTCTAATGTTTCGCGGTGCCGCGTGTGTGTTCTCAACGTCGGATCCCAGGGGACGACCTGGCGGACGGGTCCTCTTCGGCTTCGTGGTTCCTTGAGGCTGCAGTGGGATTCCATGCCACGAAACACCCTGCTTGCCCGCCAGGGTGCCCTGGGTTTCTTGGGCTTCGATTGTTTTGCGATGGAAAAAGCGTGACGCTCCCGCACCAGACATCCGCGGCCGTCCTGGGGTCTCAGGGTTTGGTTTCCTGTGGAAGCTTTCTTGTGGCCGAGCTCCTGCTGCATCTCAGAGCGTGAATTACCACCTACCCCGCTTTCGCTTCCAGGCAAAATCAAGTCATACCACGCGCCTCCTCGTCACGCGGCCTGGCCAGTACAGGCCGTAGTTTGGCATCGCTTGGTGCCTCTTGGAAGCGAGGGCGGTCAAAAGCGAGGTAGGCTTGCTTGCCCCCTCGCATCGGGCCCCGCCGTGCCTCCTCTCGCCGTCGGCAGCGCCTCGCGGAGAGGGAGCTTCGCTCCCGCAGGGCCTCGGGGGGCGCGTCCCGAGGGCGGCCGCGCGGGCCCCGCGCTGCGGCGCGAGGGCCCAGCGGGGGGGAAGAAGCGGCTCCTTCGGTGGCAATAGGGGGCCACCTGCGAACCCTACCCCATACCCCCCACGATTTCTGAGGGGGAGGAGGAGGGGGAGGAGGAGGAGGAGGAGGAGGAGGGGGAGGAGGAGGAGGAGGAGGAGGAGGAGGAGGAGGAGGAGGAGGAGGAGGAGGGGGAGGAGGGCCCGCGCGAAGTGAACCCCGCCCTCCCCCTCAGAAATCGTGGGGGGTAGGGGTAGGGTTCGCTTGCGTGCCCCCAAGCAAGTCATGGGAGCCTGGTGTCCCCTCGGAATGCCGTCTTTCGCGCCGGTTAGCGCCGATCAGCGTCTGGGAGTCGATGAGGTAGCGCCGACTCAGCGCCGGTTAGCGCCGATGATCGTCGATTTAGCGTCGGCTAGCGTCGCTTAGAGTCGACTAGCGTCGATTCGCAAGAGCTGACAAGATGGTATGGGAGGCTCCCATGAGTTGCCACCGAGGACCTCTTGTCAACTGTCAGCCCACGCTCACATCACGGCTGCAGCGGCGGCCCAGGTACAGTCGGATTGGGGGTATAAGGTCGAGGTCGATTCGGGGAGGGTGCCCGTACGTTCTTCGTGTGTATATATTGGGGGAACTTTCCTGGGGGGTACCCTTGGATGTTCTGTGCGTTTTGGCCGGCGGATGGTCTCATGTTCTTGCAGGATGTTCTACTGCCTTGTGTCCGACTGTATTCAAGGGCCGCTTTTCGGACGGGCTCCTTCATTCCGCGACATCGGCCAAACTGGCGGAGATGGTCCATGCGCTTCTCTGTGATGGTGACAATTGCCAGCATCTCTCTACTGCAAGCCGTATGCCTCTCCGACTCCCTCAGGTGCGGCGGCGGATATTCCAGCTCGGAAGGAGCTTTTTTTCTTTTCTTGCAGGCAAAGCCAGGGTTCAGCGCAGCCTCCAGACATTTGCGATGTATGGGGTATCGCTGATCGTGCGCGTGGCGAGAATGATTCCTGGAACCGTATCGGGGGACAGAGGGAGGTTGTGTACCTGCAGGAGGCAGGGAGCAGGGAGCAGGTGGGACGGAGGATGAAGGGGGGAGCAGGGAGCGGGGAGAAGGGAAGGCGGCGTGGCTTAACCAGAGCATGTCGTGGCAGGCCTATAGGATTGCCAGGACGGTCGGTCCCTGCTCAAAAGACGCTGTCCGGGGGGACGTCGGGTTGGTGTGGTGTATACGATTTTCCGCGTTTTCTCTAGGAAACACTGGACAAAGTATACACCGGGATTCCGTATACACCAGATCCGTTTTTCTGTGCGAGTGTGTCAGTGCGGGGCCGGACAAGTTTCGGTGTGTATATATATATATAGAGAGAGAGAGAGAGAGAGAGAGAGAGTTCGGTTGCGTACGTGGGCCCCCGAAGCGCCGTGCGCCGGACGCGCGCAGGCGAGCGCGTTCTCGTGGGTCCGTGGGCCGAGGCTGCCAGGGGATGCGCAAGTCTGCTTGCTGGCTGCACCCCAGCAAGGTCGAAGACGAGCAAGCCGCATAAGCAGAACAACTCTTGACGGGCCCAATTTTCCACCACCACTACCATAGGTAGGAGAGAGGAGGAGGAGGAGGAGGAGGAGGACGAGGAGGACGAGGAGGAGGACCTCCTCATCCTCCCTTCTCCCCCGTCCTACATATGGTAGCGGTGGTGGAACATTTGCCCATCAACTCTGCTTGCTCACTGCACCCCAGCAAGATCGAAGACGAGCAAGCTGCTGCATAAACATAAAATTTCGGAGCTCCTCGCAGATTTCCTGGATCTACGCTGGGCCCCCCTGGCGGCACCTCGGGCTCCGCCCCTGACGCGCCCCGCGCGCCAGGGAGGGGGTTCAGCGCAGGAAGTCTGCGCGGACCTCCAGCAGTTTGTGTGTTCGTAGTTGTTTTCTTCCTCTTAGAAGAGCAGGGCTGGACCCAAACGCTGTTTTGCTGGACTTCGGCTGTGTTTGGTTTTATTTTTGAGAGGGAGGTACATGCACAGGAAAACAGTTAGAGCAAAACGAACAACAAAACGAAAACAAAAAGAAAGACAACGTTCAGGTCCAGCCCTGTCGAAGAGCGGCACTGGCTGCCCCTGGAAGTGCGCAGGGAAGCGAAGGTCGACCACGCCTGGCGTCCTGCGCCGCCTTCACCCCAGCTGGACCGGGCCGATCGGGTGCATGGGCCCCTCCCTGGGGGAGTCGCCTCCCCCCGTCGCGGAGAGAAGGGGGTTTGCCGGCGCGGGGTGCAGCGCCACCCCGATGCGCATTTTTGTGGCACCTTCGGGGGGCATGGTGAGGGGGGGGTCCTCCCAGGGTTCAGCGGGGGAGCGGCCCCGGCTGGAGGCTCGCGCTTCCTGCCTCCAGGGGCCGTGGGGGGCGATCAGCTGTCTGCCCCTGGCCCCACCTTTCTATCAGGAGGGAAAAACACACACAACACACAACACACAATACACACACAACACACACACACAACACACAACACACACACAACACACACAACACACACACACACAACACACACAACACACAACACACACACACACAACACACACACAACACACACAACACACACAACACACAACACACACAACACACACAATACATACACGACACACACACAACACACACACACCACACACAACACACACACAACACACACACAACACACACAACACACACACAACACACACAACACAACACACACACACAACACACACAACACACAGTTTCTGCCCGTGGGCGCGTGCGGCTTGAGGACGAGCCCCAGGGGAGCCCGCTCTTTTCGCATGGACGCTCAAGCAAGCGCTGGCGGCCCTTCGGTTTCACACCGAACCCCGAGCGGCTCAGTGGTGCAAGGAAAACAGATCGGGGTTTAGGGCCTGCGCCTGCCGCCAGCCTCAGACCGATCTGCATCCCATTCATTGCCTTGGAGAACACACAACACGTGCGGCAAGCCGGCCTTCCAGCAACGGTGTCGCACGATTCATCCCGTTCACTTTCATTAGTTTCATATGCTACCTCGCCTTCAGCGGGCACACGCGCATACAGCTCACACTACGTTCAGCTCGTTCTCACCATCCGTGGTCTCTCCAGGTGGTCTTCGTGCTCTACAGTTGTTCCTACATCTGTTATTGGTACGCACTTCCCCTAATGGCAAGAAGCAGGGCATCACGGAGCCCACCCTGATGATCCGTATTACTCATATCTTCATGGCGATGGGCGTGATTCGATTACGACAGGCTCTGCAACAGTCAAAATGTCCCAGGTGGGCGGCCACCGTATTCCGCGTCTTACCACCCTGTGCGAAGTTAGCCATCAGCAATCTTGGTGGGCATTGGTTGTCGTGGTGTCAGAGTTGTGTGGGGGTAAGATCATCGCCTATGGAGTCGTCTGTCTATGTCTTGTGGTATGCAGCTGGAGTTTATGCCCGCCAGGCAAATCTCACGCGGTCGGATGCCACCCCAGGACTGGCCGCACGACTGAGAGGACCCACTCAGGCCATCATGTCTCCAAATACGCCAGATGGTGGATGGCCGAGATATCATCTTTTGCGGAAGTCATTGGGAACACGGTGTATGTTACCAGTGGCGGTCTTTCCGTCGGAGGCACAGCCGTTGGCAAAGGAGTCTTTTGTGCTCAAATTCGCCAATTCTGAGCGCAACCATCGTGATCGGGATAGTGGATATCAACGCCGTGGGAACCGACAAGGGCCACTACTTGTACCACGGCGGGGAGCGGTTCGTCGTCGACCGCCACCGCGGCTTCGAGGGCCCAAGCAGGCGCAGTCAATTTGGGTTTCCCAGGTGTTCCAGGATGCGAAGGGGAGATCAGATTATGAACGCTTGTGTCGGGAACCGTTGTTACAACATCCTGGACATTTGCGAGGCGCGTATTCCGAGGTCTACGCTGGCATTATGAGGCTCAGGTTGGTGGAAGATCGCGGGTACGGCCCGATCAGCATCTTCGAAGGAGGATTATTCAATCTGTTGGTGGCTTATTGTGCATCATATCGTCCATGTGTTGATTTCCCACCATCGTGGAGTGTAGATACAATTGCTGGCTTCTTACACCGTGCAGGGGAGTTGGTCGATGTTTTCATTCAAGGTGGGGCTCGCCGTATGGCGGCCGTCATGGTAATCGAGTGCCTTCTCCGTCTGCACCGAGTGGCGCCGTTCAACGTCTCACCGCTCGTCTTACCAGCTTATGTCGAGGACGATTTACCACACCTACGCCAGAGGATTTCGATGATATGGAAGTCTATCAGGACCAGCAACGCCAAACACGGGACATATAAGAGGAAATATGGTCGTGGCTCGTGGGATTTGTCGTTAAACATGCTTCGGAGGGCTTTAGCTATGGCGTCGTATCAGACCTTAGTGAAGATGGGCAAGGTGGCTTTGGAACGGGCTGGGATGGCTATAGGTGGAGTCATGTCGGCTGAAGCGGTTTCGGTCGAGCTTGGCTCGGAAGAGGGTCGCCCTCGGGAAGATCGTGACCGTGACCGCGACGACCACCGTGGCCAGCGAGACCGTGACCGTGATCGTGACCGTTGGGGGGGCCGCCATACCTGTTCGAGTTCCTCGTCCGGGTGGGGGGGCAACCACGAGGCGCGCGGTTTGGAGCGCCACAGGAGATGGATGTACAAACACGACCCGTCACACGCGGCGTTCATGGACCAGCGGGAGCAGGAGCTATGTGATATCGAGGTTCGCCGTCAGGGGAAGGTCATGGCCAGGGCAATGCAAAGGTCGATGGATCACGCGTTCCAGGAGAACGGCATCCAGATCCACATGCCCCAGAGTGGGGGCCGTGGGGATCCGCCGCCGTCGCCAGGGACTTCCACATTTGCGAGCCCAGGACCTGCCCCGAGCACGGGCGTGCCGCCAGGGGGGACCGGCACGGTCGACGTGGGGGGACCTCACGAACATCAAGCGCATGCTCGTGGAGACGCAGTTCGGGTCCATGGTCGAGCTGGAGGACATAAAAGGAGTCTACGCTCAAGGAGGCGTTCTCCAGCTCGTGGGGCAATCGCAAGTTATTGCAGATCGCAAGCAAGTTATTCAAGAAGCAGAAGATCACGGAACCCAAGCGTAAGGACGAGGAAATATCAGCGTTGTGGGAATATTATCAGAACCTCGCCTGGGAGATTGCCGAGCCTCTCTTAGAAGCGTACGATGCTGAGATCTATGCTCCAAAGGTGGAGCGCTCTTTTGTAAAGAATCAATTCACGTTGTACATGATTTTCTTTCTGCTTGGACTGGTAATCGGAAATCCGTTGTGTACTTCCGTCGTCTGTGGGTCGCCTACTTAAGAGCTCATGTCAGCGATTTTCTAGGAATATCGTGTACCGAATGGCCGCCAAACCGCACGATCCTGTTCCCGACTTTCTCCCAAAAGGTCGCAGGTAGTCTTGTTGCAGGCACATCCGATCTTGGGATCAACGTGAAGGGTGTGAGGACAGCTGTCAGGACCGCTCTCGGCTGCTAACCAAGATGAGGTTTCCTTTTGGTTGTTTTTGGTCCTCTCCCCTCTCCTCTCGCTCCCTCCCTCTTCTCCCCCCCTGTTCCTTCCCCGCTCCCAACAAAAATCCCCACGGGAGGATTGCCTCACTTGGGCCTTGGACGTTTCTGGTGCTCTGTTGGGTTCCATGTTTGGGGCACTGTCCGTGTGCTGGCCCCGACCTTGGGGGGGCGGCAGTTGGGCTCGGGTGCACCACTCTTCCCCCTTGAGGACCCGAACCTTCCTCCTCCACCAAGGTATGTACCCAGAAGCCCGTTCGGACAGGATTTGCTGATGACGACTTCACCCTCAGAGTTGAGTCTGACCCTACTGCGCTGTATCATATCCCAGCGCGGAGGGACACACTTTCTGCCCGTGGGCGCGCGCGCGGTTCGAGGACGAGCCCCAGGGGAACCCGCTCTTCTCGCATGGATGCTCAAGGAAGCGCTGGCGGTCCTTCGGTTTCACACCGAACCCCGAGCGGCTCAGTGGTGCAAGGAAAACACATCGGGGTCGGGCCTACGCCTGCCGCCAGCCTCAGACCGATCTGCATCCCATTCATCGCCTTGGAGAACACACACAGACACACACACAGACAGACACACACAGACACAATTAATCGTCGATTCCCCAGAAAAGATGGGAAAGATATGGGAAGTGGGGGGAAGACAAAACCCATACACTATGGGAAATATGGGGGATCCTGTTAATTTGTGTCTGTTTATTTGTGTGTCCCAGAGCCCCTTCATTCTAGGCCTCCTGGATGGGGTCGGAGTAGATGGGGTCGGAGGATCACGCCGCATCGCCGGTGCATCGGCGATGCGGCTCGATGTGGAGCCCGATTTGCTACACGTCGACGTCGGCGATGCATCGGCGACGTCGGCAAAGCATCGCCTGTGCATCGCCGATGCATCGCAGATGCGTCGTCGATGTATCGGCGATGCGGCACGATCCTCCGACGCCATCTACCCCGAACCCATCTAAGAGTTGGTCCCGGGGAAGTGGTCCCGACCTTCGGGGCCCACGCGTCGAAACAGTTTGAGCGGCCAGATGTTTGGGCACGGGGAGAGAGAGTGGTGTAAGGAGGTGGGGGTGGAGGGGAGGGGGAGGGGGTGAGGATGAGGAGGGGGAGAGGGGGCAGGATTGCACGAGCGGGGAAGGATCGGGGGGGAAGCGGGGGCGGAACGGGAGGGAGAGAAGGGGAGGCGGAGGAGGAGGAGGAGGAGGAAGAGGAGGAGCAGGAGGAGGAGGAGGAGGAGGAGGAGGAGGAGGAGGGGAGGAACAGGCGGGAGAGGGGGAAAATGCGGAGGACATGGGTGAGAGTGAGGGGAGTAGGTGGAGGAGGCTGCAGAGGAGGTCGAATAGGAAGCGGGGCAGGGCGGGGGGAAGGAGGCGGAGGCGGAGGCGGAGGCGGAGGCAGAGGAGGAGAAGGAGGAGAAGGAGGAGCCGGAGGAGGAGGAAGAGGAGGAAGAGGAGGAGGACGCACGACGCCCCGTGCTTCCGAATCTCGCAGAAATCCGGCATCCCAGCCCAACGTCTGCCACCAAGCGCATGCGCCTGCTCGAGGCTGCCGTTTCGCCCCGCTACCTCTTGCGCAAGTGGAAGGGCAGTTGATTTGATGATGTTGGTGATGATGATGGTAGTGGTGATGATGATGATGATTATGTTGCAGATGGTGGTGCTGCTGCTAATGCTGACGAGGATGATGAAGATGATGATGATGATGATGATGCTGCTGCTGATAATGACGATGATGATGCTGATGATGATGACGCTGATGATGAGCGTGAGGACGATGATGAGGACGAGAAGCAGGGATTTCATGTTGATCATGATGATGGTGATGATGACGATGCTGATCATGATGCTGATGTTGATTATGCTTAGTATGTTGGTTATGCTGGTGTTGATAATGATGCTGATGATACTGATGATGCTGCTGCTTATACTGATGCTGACGCTGCTCATGATGATGCTGATGCGGATGATGCTGCTGGTGATGCTGATGATGGTGTTGTTGATGCTGATGCTGATGCTGATTCTGGTGCTGGTGATGACGATGATGATAATGCTGGTGATGATGATGATGAGGAGGAGGAGGAGGAGGAGGAGGAGGAGGAGGAGGAGGATGAGGGTGAGGATGAGGATGAGGATGAGGATGAGGATGCGGATGAGGAGGAGGATGCGGATGAGGAGGAGGAGGAGAAGGAGGAGGAAGAGGAGCCGGAGGAGGAGCAGAAGGAGGAGCAGGAGGAGATAGGATGAGGAGGAGGAGGACACGTAGGAGCAAGGCAAGGAGGAGGAGGAGAAGGAAGAGGATGAAGAGGCCCTCCTCCTTCTCCTCCTCCTCCTCCATTCCTTTTCCTGATAAGCAATTTCTCCCTGTCGCACCCCGAGGCCAGTTTTTAGGGCGTCCCGTGCGTTTCGCCTGACACTTCCTCACCATTTATGATTCTGAAGCTCAACAGTTGGCAACAGTTCACAGATGGAGGGCGGGTGGTTTTCAAATTGTGGCTCTCGCCTTAGCGCCGCGCACATTCGTTGTAAACAGCTGCAAGAGTTTCACGTATTGAGGGCGGGTCGTTATCAAAATGGGGCTCTCGCCTTAGCGCCGCGCACCTTTGTTTTAAAGACGTGCAAGGAGTTTCACAGATTGAGGGCGGGTCGTTTTCAAAATGTGCTCTCGCCTTTGCGCGGCGCCAATTCTTTGTAAACAGCTGCAAGAGCTTCACGTATTGAGGTCGGTTCTTTTCCAACATGTGGTTCTCGCTTTAGCGCCGCGGACATTCGTTCATAACATTTGCCGGGGTTTCACGGATTGAGGGCGGGCGGGTAGTTTTAAACATTTGCAAGATTGTCACGGATTGAGGGCGGGCCGTTTTCAAAATGTGGTTCTCGCCTTCGCGCGGCGCACATTTGTTCATGTGCAAGAGTTTCACGGATTCCCATCATCAACGTTCAGAAAAGGTGTTTTGGACGGATTCAGGATAATGCGGGTGCAGTAGCTACGATGTTTCTCTTTGTTGAAGTCCTAGGAATGGCGTTCTGGCACGATTCAGGATCGTCAAGACGCAACGGTCAGGTTGATCCGTGGCGTTGGAATCCCGAAAACAATGCTTTGGCATGCTTCATGGTCGTCAAACAGGTGTCTTCCAACGTGCCAGTTCCATCAGTGGAGATGCATCTTTGTAGGGGCCTATGAATAGGGAGTTTGGAGGGAGGGTTTACTCCAACATCGTTGAGAATTCTTGGGTTTACACTGGTCCTCCTCCTCCTCCTCCTCCTCCTCCTCCTCCTCCTCCTCCTCCTCCTCCTCCTCCTCCCCCCTCTCCTCCTCCTCCTCCTCCTCCTCCTCCTCCTCCTCCTCCTCCTCCTCCTCCTCCTCCTCTTCTTCCACCTCTTGATTCTCGAACGGCGACGACGACGGGACCGCGGGCGTGGCAACCCTGCCGGCACCACGTGTGCCGCCCGTGACCAGTGAAAGCCGGTGCTCTGGGTCCAGGGCCAGCCCCCCATGCTGCTGTTCGTGGCACTGCTCTGCGGCGCTTGGCGTCGTGCTTGGTTCTGGTCCAGAATCTGGCTTCATCCCGCTATCCAGCTTCATCTCGCTGAATCCGCGGCCTATCCGGCGCAACAGCTCTCCAACGGGGACAAAGTGTCCTGAATCCATCAGACGAAGACCTCCCAGTAGTTGCATCCTGACGACTCGCGGGCCAGTGACCCCCGCCAGAACAGCATGCAATACCCCGTGCCCCGCCATAGCGTCGTGCCTCGAGGCCCGTTCTCGTGCCGCACGGCCCGCGCCGCAGCCTCTCCAGCGGCGAGTCCTCGACCTCCTTGCGACCTTCGAGGGGGAGCCGAGATGCCTGGTGGAGCTGGCCACGATGGTCGCCTTCATTCCCAAGGCTGGTGGAGGCGTTCGGCCGATCGCCCTGATCCCGCTGCCTCTTCGGCTGTGGAGCAGGCTGCGGCAACCGATCTGCTCCTGATGGGAGGCTGAACGCGACCACCGCTTCTTCTGGGGGAAGGCAAACCGAGGCTACGGCAAGGCGGGCTGGCTGCACAACGCCCTCGGTGCCTTCGCGACGGGGTGCGGCTTCGCGGTTGGGAGCCTCTTCCTGGACATTGCCAAATTCTACGAGAACTTGCGGCACGACGGGCTCTGGCGATGTGCGATCGCCCACGGGTTCAACCTCCGCCTCCTCCGAGGCCTGCTGGTGAGGTGCCAGAGCCTGGGATTCCTGAATTTCGTGGGCGCCGCCTCGTCGACCTTCACCACGGTGGGCACGGTCTTCGCGGGGTGCGCCTACACGACCACCGTGGCCAACCTGCCGGTGCGCCGCGTCGCTGGGAGGGCGCCCGCGACGTTGTGGACGACATGACGCTCCAAGCGGTCGGCACCGAACGGCTGGTGGCGCAGCACTTCGGCAGTGCAGGCCTGGATATCGCCAGGCTGTTGGACGAGGAGCACCTGCCCTTCAGCGCGGCGAAAACCAGTTACCTGGCCGCCTCCAGCCCCGCGTTCGCGAAACGGCTCGGCGATCTCTGGACGGGCCACGGCTGAACTTTCCACCGCGCCCTGCAGGCACGGAACATCGGTACAGACGCCAACATCACCAGGAGTGGCGTCCACGAGGGTCCGACAAGGGCGGCCGGAACTTTGACGAGAGCGCGCAGGCTGCGATGCATCATGGCGGCGGGCGCACGGGTAGACCTGATCCAAAGGGAGGCCCCACGGCCAGCATGGTGTGGGGCCGCACTGTCACGGGCATCTCCGGCTGCGGGCTGCACTGCTGGCGGGCCACGGCGGCCCGCAGCGCAGGCAAGCTGCCCAGCGGCGGTGCGCAGTGTTTCCGCTTGGGGTGCGCTGAGGCGGCGCGGCGTCGGGACCTTGACGCTGGCGCACTGGTGGCTGGATTCGTGGTGCAGATGGCAGCCCTCTTCCAGTCGGGCGAGCTGCCGAGTCGCGTGTTGGCCAAGGGCCTGCAGACTGCGGCGGCCCGCCGCGCGGGCGCGGTCAATCCATGGGTCCACTGCGCCTCTCCTGTGGACACTGCGGTGCCCACGATTTCGCGGATCGGCTGGTGCGTCCAGTCCGAGAGGTTTTTTTTCTTCGTCACGGACCAGGGAGACAAGCTCGACCTCGCCCTTTTTGGCCCAAAGGAGCTCGGTGTGCGGCGGGCTTCTGGCCGCCGCGAGCTCGCGAAGCTGGCCAAACGCGGGGGCAGCGGAAAGTTCCTCTCTCTGGGATGTCATCGCCAGCCTCTGGGGGCCTGATGGGGACCTGGGCGCGCGAGAGCAGGCGGCCTTTGTCTCCTACGTCTCCAACGCGCACTGGCCCCAGGTCTGACTCCACCGCGCTGGCGGGCGGGGGCGGCGCAGGTGCTGCGCGCGCGGAGCGGCCCGCGGGGCGCCGCGGCACGGGCTGTTCGAGTGCCCTGCGTTCGAAGGCTTTCGGCGAGACGGTGCGCCAGTGCGACGCCGCCGCTGCGCGGCGAAGGCCCGAGCCCGAGACGGGGGGGGGGCAGGCGTGGACGTCGCGGGGCGCTGGCGCCCCGCCCCGCTCGCGCAGCAGGGGCCCCGCTCGGACGTCGCGCGGGCGAGGAGGACGCGGCGGCCCGACGGCGACAAACTGAAAGGGAAAGCTGCGCCTTGACGGACCCGCGGCGGAGCACAGCTAAAGCGCCGCGCGCGGAGATGGCTGGCCAGTCCGCGCGGCGCGACGACGACCGCAACGTTGCGGCCAGGGCCCGCGGCGCCGCGCTGCGGGGCCGGCGCCCGCCGCGGACGGCCAAAGGACGGCGAGGATTTCGCGGCCTGGGTGCCGTGCAATGATGCGGGGCCGGCGGGGGTGGTGCTCAGCGTCGACTGCAGCCCCGAGGCGTCGCGCCCGCGGCGCGGGCGAGCCTGCGCCGCGGCCGCCAACGGGCTGAACGTCCGCCCGCGGGCGGGGTTCCGCGCGACCTTTGAGCGGGGATCCACAAGGTGCCGGCGCGCTGCGCCAGGCAGGCTGTCCAGGGCGGCAAGCAGACCGAGGCCCGGCGGCGCGGCAACGGGCGCGCCGACAGGCTGGCTGAGGCATGCGCTCGTTCGCGCGCGGCGGGCGCGGCCGCCGTCAGCGCGCGCGGCGCGCGCGAGGAGGCGGTCCACGAGCTGGCGAGATGGATCGGCCAGGCCTCGATGTCCCTGCAGGGCGTCGAGACCAAGGTCGCCGAGGGCCTGCCTGCGGGTGACGAGCGGCGCCGCGCCCAGTTCGCAGGGCCTGCCGGGGAGGACCCACCCGACGAGCGGGGGGCCAGGCCGAGCGCGGGCGGCTCGACGGGGCCCGCTCGGTTGCAGCGGCCAGCGGCGCGACGGCGGGCGCAGCGGCAATCGCTATCCTCGGCCGCGCGCTCGTCTGCGCCCGCTGTGGCCAGGGCGCCGACGAGGGGGAGATCATGGCGCGCGCCAGCTGCGGCGCCTGCGCGCGGGTCGGAGGGCGCTGCGGGGCCCGGCCCGAGCTGCAGAGCCCATGCGCCGGGCGCGCGAGGGCCGCGGCGATCGAGGCCGGGGCCAGCCGGCGGAGC